TTTTTTTTTGTTTTTTAATATGAAAAATTATAAATTTACCATATTATCCTTACTTAATTAATACTCTCAATTCTTAATATTTGCATTAATTAATGGCATTTTCTGGTATTTTGAATGTTTCCTCATTCTCTACTTCTGTCTTTATATATAAGATTCAATTTGCTCCATATATTTTTTGTTTTCATGCCTTTATTAGGGTCATGTTAGGGAGACCGGATAGAGATGGAGACCACCAATACAATGGATATCACCTTTATTAGAAATGTGGTTTAAAAAGTGGTAAATGTGGTATTCCTAGCATTTTCCTCTTATAAAAGCATAAGAAGTGTGCTCCACATATTGTGGTTGCGAATTACCTACACTAGGCAATATATGAAATGGGTTATAACAAATTTGATCCCAAATAGGTTATAACAAATGAAACTAAGACAACAAATATCTTAATTAATAATTCACAATTTTACTCCTTATAATTTGATTTAATTGTTTGTATTACTAATGTATCTTGTCCAGGTAGCAATCTTCATCTTCTTTTCAAAAATGAGGGACTTGAGATCTTTGAGCACAAAAAGGATGGCTATCATGAACTTTTTTGTTTTGTTGCAATATGTGCCGCGAGTTCTTTGTATCTACTTATCATGTAAGGAACTTAAAAGGACTCCTAAAGGAGGGACCGGAGAGACTGCCATATGGGTTAAAGGTGTCCTGAATTTCTTTATGTACATCCTCGCTAGTCATGTAAGTAACAATATTTAATCTTAATGAATGGCATGATTTGTTTGGATTTTTTTTTTGTAAAAGGCTAGGTTCTTAACTCAATCAACCTTGATGAATGACAATATTAATGTACATGGGTCAAAATGATCCATATTACAATAGAGTACATATACTTAATATTCTTGAGTTATATTTTCGAAAAACCATAATATATCATCATAACATTAAGTTCTTCTTCGAATCCTTAGTGTATGTTCTTTTTTCTTTTTGTTATAAGGGGGATTCAAAACTCTAGTCCCTTGTACTGCTATAGGTAGAAACTCTCATAAGTATGTTTAAAGGGTGAAGATAAGCTGATGAAATAAGGATACCGTCTAGTAATGAGAATATAATGTTGTGACGTGACCCAAATACGGCCAATTTGGCAGTATTTAATTAATATTTTTTGAAGTTGTTTTTATCTTTTTAAACTTGAGTGAAGTTAAAGAAATTTTTTTCGTATTTTCATCATCATCTCTAAGTCTAAACTCATGGTATTTTCTTGTTATTGTTTAGGTACTTGGAGCCATATGGTATTTTTTCGCTATTCAACGAATGGCCATTTGTTGGCATGATGCATGTCGAAAAGAAAATGGATGTGACACTAGTACTTTTGGTTGTCATGAGCATCAGACATTTAGAAATATAAGATTTCTAAATGATTTATGCCCTATAAGTCCAGTGAATACAACGCTTTTTGATTTTGGTATATATAGTACAATCCTTCAATCTGGTATACCGGGTTCAACAAATTATTTTGAAAAGTTCTCCAATTGTTTTTGGTGGGGCCTGCGAAATTTGAGGTTTGCGTAATTTTTTTTGTGTTGTTTTGTTTGGTGTGGGAAAAAAAAATCAAAAGAGAAGGTTAGAGAAAAAGTTGATAGCATTCCCCTTATTTAATATCAATTAGGACAAGTGCTCACTCACCTGCTGCCAAAAATAAATCTCTCCTTTTAATGACCGTGGAGCCCAGGTGCATTCAAGGAGACTCAAAACGTGGCAGAAAATAGTCCACACAAATAGGTCACGTGGCCCCGCAAGAAGACATTTACCATTATAAACTTGACGGAAAATACAGTGACTTCAGTTGTAGAAAATTTGAGATTTAAAAGGGGTTTTGCTCCATCATTTGCAAATTCACCTACCAAGATCGGATTCAATTTCTGTAAATTAAAAAAAAAACCAGAAGGTTTGAGTTTTACATGGCTAACGGTGAAGTAGCTATAGCTTTGGAGAAGATGGAAGAGAAAGCTGAAGCAATTCCAGTTGCAGACAACTCGAAAGAGAAAGTTGCAAGGTTAGTTTGTATATATAAGTACAACTTTAACATGGATGCACTATTTTCATTTTTTCCTTTCTTATATCAAACAATGTAAAGTTGCCACTACAGAACAGAACCTTTTGTTGTTTTGAGGACAGCAAGGTTGTGTTTGAATGAGGGACTTCTTCACTTCTTCAAAGTGATGAGCGTTTGAAGTGAGGAGATTTCAAAGTGAGAGATTAGTAAAGTCCCTTGTTTGGCTAATTATTTTATTAATTGGATTTGATTAGGTAAGTTCTTATAAAGTCATTGCGATGCAATAATCTAACCACAGCCAAATTTTTAATTATCTTCAAACGAGCTGATAGGCGCAAATTTTTTTTTCTTCTTTTTCTCCAGTAGTCATTCAAAACCAGAGGCTACAGTGGAAAATTCAGTCATGAAAGATGAACATGGATCAAGTAAGAAATGGTCACCAAAAGAGGAGGAAGCTCATGATCCTCCTCAGGGGTGCTTCCTTCAAAAGTGGAAGAAGATATTTGTAGCGTCGTGTCTGTTTGCTGTTTTATTGGATCCATTGTTTCTCTACGTTCCTATGATGAGGGATGAAATCAAGTGCCTGCTATACGACAGAAACTTGAAGATTGCCGCTCTTCTTTTAAGATCAGTCACTGATCTTTTCTATATATTGGACATCATTTTTCAAATTTATGCATCACCCAACTATTCTGATGTCATGGATCTATATCGTCGTATTAGGCTGTACTGCTCGAAAATAAGATTTTGGAGGAAATATTTTGTGCCAACAATTGCTAAGACAATCTTGGGGTCATACAATATCTTAATTGACATTATGGCCATTCTTCC